AAAAAGAAGGGGCGCCAGTTTGTCCCGCTGGTAGGTCAACAGTCGCCTGCCACAGCGGATACATGGTGGGCGTCGTCGTCATGAGAACCGATGCCAGAGGGTTCCAAGAGCCTGTCATACGGCTCAGCCTCCCCTCCTTCCGTCTCGCTCTCACCTAGCTCGGGCTGGTCCCCTATCAGCAGCAATTGATCGCCCACGTCCGTATAATTGCAGCTCACAGTGAAGGTCACAGGAACTCTCCTGCACGGCGATGAAGAGGATCAGCAGTCGAGGCGGAGGAGAAGAAGGAACCCACTTCTTGTTCGCCCGCATCTCGTCCTCCTCGCTCACCAAGCTTGAAACCGCCTTCACCTCCATTGGAACAGCGGTAAGAGACTCCTGCGAGAGCGAGTTAGAGGAGGAGGGATGGCCGATTTGCCTCACCTGGGTTTCAAGTGGTGAGATCTGAGCGTAAGCGTTCCAAGCGGCTTCGAGCTGAGCGATCTTCTCATCGATCTGCACGAGATGAGCCAGGGCGAGAAGGGAGAGGAGAAGAGCCGCGTCACCTTCTTGTGGGTCGAGGGATCCACAGACTGCAAACGGAGGATCTTTGCGCGCTGCACTAACAGCCGATTGCGCTGAGCGAGTCTCGTGACGCTGTGACCACTCCTCGGCCGCAGAAGCTCTTCCGTCTGCTGCAGCAGCTCTGCCGCGCTCTTGATGAAATCCTCCACCTGCTTCTGCACATCTGCTGAGTCGATCTGCAGCAGGCTGGGCTTGGACATCTCCCTGCTCCTCTGCCGTTGCGGCTTCTCCTGCTCGCCTGCTGCTGGACTCGTCGCGAGCTCAGCTGCTTGCGGTCTCGTCACCTTGGACACATCGAGCATCGGGGAGCCGAAGGGCTTGCCTCCTCGGAGGGTGGGGACATGCTGCTCCGACTGAAGAGGATAGGAAGGAGTGGAAGAGAGAGATGTGGAAGCCGGAGCGTGGAAGGCTAGCAGGAGGAGGATGAGCAAGTATGACATGGGATGATCAAGTGGAACCGTCACAGACTTTCGCACATTCTGAATGCAGTATGAAAGAAATCACCCTGAGAAAACCATTAGAACCGTCTTTAGTTCCCCTCGAACGGAGCAAGGCCGCTTAAAAAGCATATGGAGATCGATCAAAACATATCTGATGCGGAAGATCATCAAAAGCCTAACTGTACAATGAGGAGGGTGCGTGCTCCTGCTGCAGGGACCTCCCTAAATTCTCAATTTTTTCCGGATGCCACGAAAAAAATTGATATGAGTACGTATGAGTTCTTCTGCAGCAAGAGCAGCAAAGCAAGCATGATCAGCAAAGGAAAGGGGACATTCAACATGAAGAGTATCAGATGAACACGGTGCACCCTTTGGTGCCCTGACAGCATTATTTGAATCGGGTGCATAGTAGTAGCGGGACCAGAAGCAGGAGTATGCGCAGGAGCAGGACAAAGGAACAACGATGAAGGTTGGGATGATTACAGAGAGGAAAAGGAGACATGGAGGAGACATGGAGGAGACATGGAGGAGAGGAGCGGGGTCGGAGTGTAGCAGCATGAGCATGCTTCAGAAGCATCAAAGACCATCACGGGCGTCTCTTGTAGCTGCCTGATGGTTTAGATGTGACCACCCCCACCCATGTTATCCCGACCCGTTTCATCACCCCTTTGTTTCACAAGTACCCCATAAAAATTGAACAACATGGTTACAAGTACCCCTAATTTTCAATAGAATTTGACCCCTCATCATCTACCCCTACCCAACTCCATTCAAACTTACCCCCCTTGTCACTACCCCCACCACCAATTTCTCCTTCCTCCACATTTTTCCATTCCAAATGCTCCTGTCCGATGGGGTCTACCACCCCACCCTCTATTTGACCTTCGATTTCATCGGAAATCACCCCTCACCCCTTTATAACCCCAGTCTATCCTACACCCCTACCCCCTCTTTTAGTGCTATTTTGTGACCCCAGGAGGGTGGGTAGCGTGATGGGGCGCTGTAAAGGACAAATTGGTGACCTCATCCCCGCAAAAGTCCCACCGATCGTCACGTGACAACTTGACGGCAGTGACTCGGCCCTCTGAGTCAGAGCCGCTGAGCCCGCCGGGCCGGCGCTTGGCACTGAGCCAGGTCTGACCAGGGAGCCCGGTCACCGTGAGGCTGAGCCCGGGACGCCGTCGGGCCGATCCGAGCCCGACCCGCCGTGACTCCGAGGCTCCGCCGTGACTCACTGAGTCAAACGGTGGCCCGGTGTGACCGATAACTTAGAGCCTCAAGCTTTGACAACTTTCAATGTGACAGTGACGAGTCGGGCCAGGCGGTCCGAGTGTGGCACGGTCACTTCCGAGTTGTGGTCGGATCTCACGGTGATTCCGAGTCGCGTCGGATCTGTGGCATGCCATGATGGACCGGCCGCCCGGCCATGACCATGACCTGGGACTTGTAGCTTGTGGCTAGTCGCTCTCTCCCCCTCGTAGCTGTCTCATCATAACTTTCTTCTGCTTGCTTGATCGCCCTAGCAACTGCTTGATTGGTCGACGACCTGCTGATGCACTTCTGCAGTTGGAGAGGCCATAGCGTGCCAAGGGAGAAGCGGATGAGGTAGTAGGATGTCACTGATGTCGCATGCCGGGGTATGACCTAAAGTTCAGGAAAAACAGCATGGGTCGAGGTTCTTCGGGGGAAACTCCATATCGACAACGACGACCTATGGAAATCGTTCATTTTCTGCTTGAAGAAGCGTCAGGTGACGCTCACGTCCGTCATCGACTTCCGTTACCGCGACGAAGGGAACCAGGTCCAGGACCGCGGCCTCGGGCCCTTCCTCGAGAGGATGTATGCCTTCCGGGTGGGCAACAACAACCTCGAGCGCTACAGTCTCCATGTGCACACCCTCAAGAAGTGGAGCGAGAGGGAGCAGCATGTGTGGGACCGAGCTCGTCGCATCACCGCCGTCAACATTCGCCGATGCGCAAGGAGGGACGAGACGGGGTACTTTAAAGATGTAGAGCTCTACGGGCTGCCGGTGCTCCCCTGCTCCCCGCACCTTCGCAGACATTGGCGAAATTACTTGGATCGTTCACAAGACCTGGAGTGGGACTGGTATGAGAGGCCTAACAAGCTGCCGGCATTGGATAGGAACAAATCCCCAAAGATATATCAACAAGTGCAGGAGGTGCTCGAATACGCTGCTCGGGCAGCACAAAATTGCGCGTGTACCACACTGAGACAGAGAGGTAAGCCAATCATAGCAGACAGAGAAGATAGCTGCAGCAGAGGGAGGGAGGGGAGGGAGGGAGGGAGGGAGGGGAGGGAGGGGAGGGAGGGAGGGAGGGAGGGAGGGAGGG